GTGTGTGTGCATACTTGTGTGTGTGTGTGTGTACAACTTTTTTGCAAAAGTTAACAAAAGAAATACAAGAAATCTGTTCAAAATTTTTATACCATTGGAAAAGATCATTCTATGAAACACTTAATAAAATGATTTTCCTATCTTGAGCAAATTAGAATTTTAGGGTTTGAAGAAAAAAAAACACTTTTCATTTCTTATTATTGCTTAAAATTACAAAACTATTAATTGCCCATAAATAAAAGCAACTTATATAAATATATATGCATGCATACAAATATACAGATGCATAAATACATAGCTATATGCAAACACAAATATAAATATATATATATATGCATACATACATACATACATACATACACACACACACATGTAGATTTCTGTGTGTGTTAAATTTTTAAACAAGTATTTGTTCTTGGTGAGAAAATTGTGCATTTTGTTTTTAAATTTTTATAAACTTTTCATTGGTATAAACAATTTCTATGAATTTTAAGTATGTCTTTTACTTTTGTACCTGTAATTTTAAGATTTGTTTACTGCAATGTATGATGAAAATAAAAGTGGCTTCTAATATGTATATATAAAGATAAAAACAATTTTTGTTACTTGAAAACAGCCCCAAAAAAGTAATAATAAAAACACAGTCAACAAAGGGTTTATTTTTCCTTGCTCTTTTTTTTTTTAACATGAATACTTTGAAAGACTTAAACCTTAAAACTACTAAAGCTTTTTTTAAAACCAAAGAAAGCTGATATTAAAAAATTAACCGACATATTTTGACAAGAGTAAAACAAAGAAAAAAATCATATTGATTGCTAAATTGTTATTGTCATGTAATTAAAAAATTACACATGGGGGAAGGAAGTGTGTTTATCATATGATCACATTACCATTTCATGTTAACAGAAAATAAGATTTTTTTTAATGACAGTCATATCTTCATTTTTATTAAAAGATTGACTATAAAAAAAAAATACAATCAAGGAAAAGGTATTTTTTGAACATACTAGAAATTGTTATTATGAACACTATACTATAAACACCATATTTGACAGCATCTAAGACAATTTTTCTTTCAAAAATATATCCCCATGTTCTGAACATGAGGATGACTTAAAGTTACATATCTGTCCCACTACCTAACACCAAAGGTCAGTGTTCAAACTCAAGTAAAAAAAAAAAAAAATTGAATGCTGCTTTTCTAGAGAAGTGAATTTTTGTTAATTTGAGGATTACTGGAACACAATCTTCTCATTCAATTTGCCTGCAATCTACTCTCTTGTAGCATGTTAAGCCAACTTAGTCAAAGTTTATGTTCAGGTGAGGGTTAGCTAAAACTGAGAAACATTTTGTATATCTAAATATACTATATGTGATGGTATATAGAACATATTCTGTTAAATTCCAGTAAAAATTGACACATTTCTGAATTGTTAAGGGGAAATGATTGACAGTGGCAATAGATTATAAACAAACTTCAACATTACCTTTTGCTTGTGGTAGGTGTTGAATGTTGCTTATTGAAACAAACATCGACTATCAAATGCCTGAATATTTTAGTCATGTCTTTACCTTGCTCAACTATTAATAATAAATGACCTATTATATATAAGAACAGTTACAAGTGTTATGAAATGTTTGGGATATCACATTCATTTCAATAGGAGCTTACAGATTATGAAATGTTGATGATGATCCTGAAGCCCCAAATGCTGGCCACTTGAAAAGCAAAGACAAACAAATGTCTTGCAATTGCTTACTTGTCACTTTATATATGCATTCCCCAACCACATCCCCAACACTACATGATTTACAATATGTAATTATTTGGTCATGCAATGCAATGGAATATAAGAAACCTGTCCTTTAATTACATCATCCATAACCCCCTGAAGTGTATAGTGACATACAAGATAGTTTTAGTAGCTAGTCATAGTGAGTTTGCTCATCCATGTAGGATACATGAATGTGACTAGGAAACAAACAGTTATTGAAAAAATAGTGTCTATAGTCAGATAACTGATAGCTAAACAAGAGACTTAACTTGTGATTGAAATAGTTGCATATTTCTTCACTGATGCCAGTGATCAGTGTTTGAGACCAAAATTTCAAATGCTGATTTTTTTTTCTCTCCTCACTTGGAAGAGTGATATTTCTACTTCCCTCTAATTGGTCTTGTGCTGTACTAAGTTTAGTCTCAAGTTGGAAGAAAATAAAATGGTCATTTAGAGCCCACCTTTGAGCATTATATCTCAGCTAAATCACAACTGTATTAGCCAAAGGAAGCAACATTGGAATCAACACAATGTTGCCAACGATCTGATCATGAATGACTTTGAATACAATAAAAATATTGATCATGAGGGATCAGTAAAAAATAGGAAGGCATTTTTGATAGGATCTGCATTGATGTACACCTACTGATACATATCTGTATCTAAAGTCTGGAAAAGGATTTTAATCAGGAAGATATACGAGAATTGAATAGGGAATTTGGTATGGTTGTTGGAGATTGAGGACAAGATCAAGTTTATCAACCTAAAGTAAACCAAATTTCTGATTATAATACAAAACTCACTCTTCAACAACAGCAAGTATTGGGGTTGGCCAAAAGGTATGTTTGGCTTAGTAAATAAATTTTCTACATAATAAGCAAACTTTTTGGTCAACCTAATACCTAATCAAGAAAAAGGGTCATTCATAAGCAAGTTGCAGCAAATATCAAACTGTAAACTCTCAATCAGTTAAAACAGTGTGAACATTTCTGCATTTTCTTCAGTTTTCTAATTTGCATCAATAGTCATCCAATTATTTTATGGACTACAATTCCAACTTTCATCCCCAAATGCCTAAATACTTTTTTTATGGTAATCCTTTAGAGCTGCCTTCAATCCTTTGAGTGATAATTTGTGACTACAACTAGAGGCTCATCTTGGAGACTTAAATCCAAGAATATGTGGTCCATTTTGAAATTGACTCCAGCAGCCAAGCATTTTAATTGTTATGGGTGGCTTCAGCAAAATAATGGTACAATTTGAACTGATAGACCATGACACATGATTATCTTTGTTTTAAAAAAAATCAAACAAAAAGGGGAGAATGAAAAAAGGAAAAAAATATATATACATTCATATTAATGTAACATAAAAACCACCAAATTTATTTTGTTCCAACCTCTAATCATTAACAACAGATGCACTTTCTCTTCATGGCAGTCCCACAAGCTATTTATAGTAAATCTCAGTCATTAGGGAGAGCTCTTTAAATTAGGCAGTGTAAGTAAATAAAAAAATATTTTAAACAAAATGGAAACATCTCTTCTCAATAATTTTCATAAATGTTTTTAGTGTTTATTAAAATGTGTCAATTGTTGATATTTTTTTAATATTTTCTGTCACAAACAAAAAGAAAAAGACTGGTTTTCACTCCAGAGAAAAAAAAATCCTCCTCTTTTTTTCCTCTATACAATTAATCATGAATTTGTAAACTCCTTTTTACACATAAAGTGTAAGATTATCTGCTATAAATGTATGTTTGTTGAACTCATTTAAGCAACTCCATCACTGTGAGGGAGGAAGAGAAAATACAAAATGCATTTACTTGTTATTTGGGCTGTAGAACAAAAAAGTAATGAAAAAAGAAAGCAAGTGTGGCTGAAATACAACAACCTGAAGCCTTTCTTGTAAATATCTGTAAATAAATGAAAGTTGTCTTGTTTTAAGAAAGTTCTGTCTCTGTGGTCATTATTGATAAATTATCTGATTATAAATTTTCTTGTGAAGTGTTGTATTTATTCATGTGCTTTTGTGTGTACAGAGAAATGCATGTTTGTTTACATGGATTATGCACAGCATGTATTTGTCTACATGTGGAATTAGATCTTGTGGGTGAGAAAGGTGATAGTCTTATATTTTGCTTTTGGATTTTTGCCAAATTGTATTTCCCAGTGGCCATTTGGCAATTCCCCTCTCCCTATCATTTGCATGTGTTGTGGTATTATCTGAATTTGGACATTAGAATCCACTAAATTATTAATGGGCTCTCCAAGAATGTGTTGTGTGTTTATGTACATATGTGTGCATCAGTTTTTTTTAAGACAGTGCTGTTTAATTTTTCCTAATAATTACTTTATAACACTTCAAAATTATAAATTACTGAACTAACAAGGATAATTTTATCTATTTATGGAGGTCTATGTGTACACTTTAGATATTTTGTTCTGGAAAAAAGATTTGAAACACTAATAATTAAGAACAATAACTCATGTTTCTGATAATAATAGTTAGCTCCCTTAGAATTCCAAGGGAAATAACTTATTATTTTTGCGATTAATAAATTATTCTTAAAATTAATTTTTATAATTTTATCAGACTGAACACGTTATCAAAACCTCCTAATAGTTTATAACCGTTGGAAAAAAACAAAAAAAAATGACATTGACTCCAGAATTAACAACATTCTCCAAATTACAAAAGCAAAATTGCTTGCAAGAGTGTTAAAATAAGAATTATCTTAGCAAAGATAATGCAAGCTATTATCTTTTCAAAGGAATTATTAAAAATTTGAACATTTACATACAGACTGAGATAAACAGAAATATCTGGTTGCATAACAAGAGTATGATTTTTTTAAATAATGTTACATGAAATCTTTTTTGATTTTTATAAGATGACAATATTTCTATTTTTATTTATTCCATTCAGTCATCTTCAAGATAATATTTTAATTGTAACAGTTGGCTTAAATACATATTAAAAGAAATAAACAAACATCACAAAGGATTTTGAAATGAAAAAAAGTAAATTTAAAAAGCTCACCATTTGAATCTAAAAGAAAAAGTTCTTTGCTCTATTTTGCAAACTACTTAATCCCACAGCACTGTCTTTATGTACTTATAAAATCCACAGCATTCAGTTGTATCAGCATCTAGTTTGTTTTCAGAAAACCATCATAGGTTCTTTTTTTTTTCTCAATCCTCTTGATGTTGGATATTTTCACAGCTTCTATGATGGCTTCTTGGGCTAGTGTGACTGACAACAGCAACACCAGTTGTAGCAGCATTCGTTCAAGTGCTGCCAGTTCTAGTGACGGTTCCTTCCTCACAGAAGCTGACTTTGCCAGCGCCGTTGCCAAAGCTGCTGAACTGTCAGGTCTCACTGTCGTTGGAACAACTGTCTGTGATCCTAAAGCTGGTAAGTAAAAGACTTGCAGGAATCTAAATGGTCATCATTTTATTTTTGGCACAGTTTCAATTTATTTGCTGGTTCAGAAGAAATATGGTTTATAAGAATATTTCAAAGACTATCACTTACTTTAATTCATCCACACAATACCAATTCATTAGTTGTAATAATTAAAATTTATTTTTGATTCTCATGTGCATCTTGTATACTGGTGAATATACCAAAACAAAATGATATATACCAAATTTATTAGGTGGGGATAAGAGTTTAAAATGTTTAAAGTCTATTAATACAGTCTTATTAATAAAAAATTCTATTAATCTAAAATGGATTTTTCTATAATTCAACATTAAGTTTTTAACAAAGAGTGTGATGTCATTTCACGCCTCTTATTTAACAGAATACAGTAATTACTCCAATATGGGTTTTTATATAAGTAGAAAATGTATTACATATAATTAGAGACTGTTGTTATTTCCTTTATAATAGTAAATTTCTTCTTTATCCCAGAGACATCAGTGGCAAGTTTATAAAAATCTTCATATTTAATACACATAAGTTGTTTTGAGATTGTGAGATGAAATAATTTCACCATTTCAAATGTTTTGACACATTTTCTTTCATCCATTTTCTTGCTGTCACAAAACTTTTTAGCTCATTCATTTTTCAGAAAAAAAATTGTTTCATACAGGAGTCACATTCTCATAAAAGGAGGTGACAGAAAACCTGTCAAAATATTTTTAATAGTGAAAAACTTTTCAATAAATCTAAAAATAAAATAGAGAGTAATACTACTTCCTGTCCCATTGGATAGTTAACAATCTATAGGTTATGTCCCTTTGTTCTTCAGTTCCCTGTCAATAATAAAACATGTAATGGGAATAAAAAGAAGACCACCAGATGTCGCATGTAGTTTGCTTAATCATTGCAGTTTTGGTAGCCTAACTGGTTAAAGCATTGCCCATGAAAGATAAAATTCCAATGTATTGTACAGAAGTTTAAGCATTTTCTAGAATTTCTCCTGAATTCCTGCAATTCCTGGAAATAAATTTTTATGATCAAATCAGAACTCTGCAAATATTTAGTCTTTGATGACATTTTTAAGTTGTTCTCTTTTTATACTAATATATAGCATGTAGTGTAGTGACATTGCTCCCCACTTTTCATAAGGACAGACCAGTCCCAACTTGAAAAGTTGAAGCAGGAAATTGACCCTTGTCATCCACTCCACAGCTTTGAACCAATGCAAAGAAGCTCAAGACATAGCTTTTTACATTCAGCTGAACAACATAGCTCCTAGCCAGAATCAGTCAATGTGGTGCAGCCACCTTAACAACATTGAACACAGGCTCTCTCTCAGCCTTACATAATCTCTCCCCACTGACTCTAGATCACTAGACCTGGACCCTTCTTATCCTACCTAAATTGCCTCCAAAACAGCTGTTGATTTCTGAAGAGCCAACCTTCAGAAATGGGGATATGCCACAAATGTTGAACCCAACTACTAATGCAGGCACTGACAAAATATTGTTTGCTTCAATCTTAATGATCTTGAAACCTTAACACCCCAAGCAAGGCTCTGTGTGTAACACTGGATGGGTGTGGTGTAGTGACTCAATAAGAAGATGACCAATATATAACTGGCACACAAGTTAGTCTCACAGACTAGGGTAGTGAGTTTGATGCTCAGTGAGTGCTCTCTTTTGTCTTCCTATACCAAATTAAATAAATAGTATATATGCATTTATGAAAAATGAAGCTAGCTCGTTATGTGTGTTGGCATTTATATTTAAGAAATAAAAAAGTTATTTGGCATTATTTATTCCCATCATTTCTAAGATAATTATTTCGAAGGTTAAAAAGTCCATGTCTTGCTTAATAATAAACTATTGATAATCTAGAAGCATGTTTTCATGATTTACATCCATTTTTTGTATATTAAAAATTGTCTTTTGTGCATTGATCTGTAGGAAGCACAAATGTTATTGTTGCAGAAAAGTGGAATTGTCTGAGTTTAAATCTGTTGCATTCACTTTTGCACTAATGCTCTTGAAAAAGGCATAAACTCATCTCTTCCCCCCACTCACATCTATGACTTAAATAACCAGATAGACTGAACCCTCTAGCCTTGTATAGCAGCCAGTCTAGGACAAAGATTACTCTGAACCCAAAACTGTAGAGAAAGCAACAGGAAAACACAGTTAGTAAAGAAAAGCCATGATCCCCTATGTGCATGCACACACATTGTTTATATATACCATGTTATCACCAGTAATACTTATGAAAAAAATGCTTCAAAACTTTGGTTCACTTTAATGATTATATAGTGACAAAGCAAATACTAAAAGAGTATATAGGAATCAAGCTAATACCCAAATTTCTATGAGACATATGAACAAATATTGTAAATTTTCAAAAATTGATTATTACTTATTTATGCTAGACAAGTATTGACTTCAGAGGTTTGCCTAATCTGTACAAAAATGGTATTTTCCCCTCTTCATAAAAGAATTTGTAATAGCCAACTCATGATGGTGATTGATCTTCATACAAGGTTAAGATCATTCACTATAAATCAATAAAAATTACCATAGTAATATGAAGACTTAAGTGAAAGTTGAAGATTTGGCAGTAGAATGTGGCACTTTATTTTATAAAATTTTTTTTTAGCAAATTTCAAAACTGTATATTGTGCATTGAAATATAAAGAAATGGATTACCAATGGTTAAGAATTAATTCAAGCAATATATATATAAAAATGAAACATCCAACTGGTTTTCACATATTCCATCTTACATAGTTCAGATATTTCATATCAATTATTTATCATTATGCATACGTGAATGCATGGTTAATAATTTTACAATAGAAATGTACAAAAAATCAAGAAGCAATTGTGATTGGAGTAGGAATCAATTTGAATATTACTGATAGAATTGAGCTGCCTCAAACAGTTTTTACTTATTGAAGATTATTTACCTACCAAGGAACATAATGTAAAAGTATGAAGTAAAATGACTAATTACCATGGGAGAAAAGAAAATTAGCTAATTTTGTGCCAGAGATGTTTATGTTCATTTAACACTTTTGCCCTTTGGAAAAGCATTCTCTCATAAGTGATATCTTGAAAAAGAAAAACGTCTTTGACATGCCACAATCATTGACAGAAAAAAAAAAGAGTGAGCACTTAGCCAATCCACTCTCTCATGACCTTACTTTGTTTTTTTGTTTTTTTTTGTTTTTTTTGCTAATGCCATGTCTTTCAGACTGGAGACAATCATAGCTCTCCAGTTTCTATTCTTTTAATAACTATGAAATTTCATGACTGTTCTTGAGGATGGTAAGAGAGGGATTTCTGAATACATAGTTATCCCTTTCCTAGACTGACTGCCAATCAGAGAGCTCAGTATGTACATTTATTTAACCCAGAGCTGGAGACAGATGGCAGTGATGGACTCACGACCTTCCCAAGATCATTAATCCAAACTGAATTCATCAGCCTTGGCTAGATTTTAAATTCAACCTGTCAATACTAATTTTTGTTTTGATAACTATTATACCATGTACACATTCAGACAGACAGAAGTCACAGTAAAAAGTTGTTACACCCATTTTCAGCCATGACATTGACCAGCTAGTGAATATGACATGGCATCATAACAGACAGACATATTTTTTGCAATTTCTTTTAAAATGGTTGGAACTCATTTCAGTTCCTTCTACAAAGTAATCTTCTGATTTCATGAATATACTGAATATATACAATATTTTATGGGTATTATGTTTTAAGCTACAGTTTGTAAAAATAAATATAACAAAATGCTTTAAATGGAAGAAAAAAATAAAATAAAATTTAAATAAAAAAAAAGGAGGAAAATCCAGGCAAAGATCACTATTTTACAATTTTTGAATTCTGTAAAATTTTAACTAAAATCTTCACTCGCAAATTTTTAACTAAAATCTTCACTACATATTTCACACTAGCAGTAGAGCCTGGCGTTGCCCCAGGATGTAACAGTAAGAGATAGATCAAGTATCGACCATCATAAAGACTGAAAAATAAATTTGACAAATATTATTGTTTAAGGTTGACAGACACACATGTCTTAATTAGTTTTTTTGTTTTGTTTTGTTTTTACAAATTGGTCAAAACCAAACTCAAACAAAAACATTGTTTTCAATTGTTATGAGTCTACCAATTGAATAGAATTTTATTATAAACAATTGTCTTGTAAATGGAATTTTTAAAGCATTCTGAATGAAAAATAAAGAAAAAAGTGTGCAAGACAATAAGAAACACTACCTGCCAAAAAAAAGTGAAGTTTTGTTGAAATCGGTTGAAAAATGTAGGAAATCCGATCCCATATATAAACGAACACACACACACACAAACAAACAACCTGGGTTTTATAATAAGTATAACTCAATATGAGTTGTCCCCCTTTTATTCTGGCGATGCCTCTTAATCGTGTTTTCAAATTGATTTCATGCAAAAACAATTGTTTTTCCAATTTTTGGCACTGTCAGAACCACCGCAAGGTAATTTTATGTAGTCCTGTGAAGTTTTGTTGAAATTGGTTGAAAAATGTAGGAAATCCGATCCAATATATAAACATACAGACACACACACAACCTGGGTTTTATAATAAGTATGATCACACCAAATATTTACTGTTCATAATATATAGGTCATTTTTTAAGTGAAAATTTAAAAGCCTTAAAAATGGATATGTTTTCTCTAGTATCATATTTTCAAATAAGTCTATTGCTTTTTGTTAGTTCTTTGTTATAATATAGAAATTTTAACGATACTTTTCATTAATAAATTCTTTATAGTTTCTGCCTGCATAATTCAAGACTATTTTGTCAACAAAACAATAAAGTATTTATGTAAATACTGTTTGTCTTTTTGTCCAACGGATCATGTGATCTGATCTTGGGAACTGTTTATTTTCAGGCAAGAAGCATCATTCTCGGAGACATCACCGAGCCGCACGTCCTACCAGTCCTTATAGCACTGACAGCAACTTCAGTGCCGTTGTACATAAACCCTATCCCAAGTCACAGCGCAAGAAGCAGTTATTGGAGCAAGGTGAGTTTCTTCTTTTCAATGAAACTGCCCAACACTCGTCCAGACAAGAGAATTAATGAAAATATCAAATTTCAATCATATTTAATGGATGTTTTACTAACAGTCATTTTTATTTTTTCATCAATGAAGTATATTATTACTACTAATAATAATGGCTGACAATGCTTCATCTCAAAAAATAAAATAATGATAATCCTGCTGTTTCTTTTATGTGCCATTTCAGGACATGGATGATCATAGTGCTCCACAACTTCCTATATATTGTCGGTCTAAGTTAATGGCTCCCAAACTTTTTTTCTCTGGACCACATTTTCACATTAAAATTTGTTTATGCCTCACCAAAAGGAAGTCCTGGTGAAAAGGCATAAGCAGCCCTATGGTAAAGAAGGTCCAGAGAGATGATTAAAGGGAGATAACCACGAATTCAAAGTCAAAACAATATCATTGATAACTCTCTCTTCCAATTTGTGGAGCTACTATATTCTTAATACTTGATATAATACAGAAATATTACAATGATAAAATTGGTCAATAATTATTTATACTGAGACTCATGAATGCAATTACAAATAATCCATAATAATATTTTAAATTTTGAAATCATATTTATTTTTGGCATACAAATTTTTTGAAACTGTTTCTAAATCTTTGATTATCTTTCAATCATTCCACCTCACCAGCTATCGTATTCCACCACCCCTATGAGGCACATCACACCATTTGGGAAACACTGATCTAAGTAATGTCTGTCTCCTGACTATCCCTCTAAGTCCCAGTTTGGCCAATCATTTACACAAGCTCATTAGGTAGATTAACTCAGTGTTTCCCTCTGCCACTTTTGTTATTCAATATATGCTTTGAGTCTCAAATTCTCCAAACTCTTTCATTTTGTATCCTATAAATTACAACTGTGCCTCTTTCTGATTTTTGTATCCTTTTCTCTTTGATTTATACATAAAAATTCATCTCTGCTCATGCTAAACTCCATCCATTGTATTAACAGCATTCTTCTATAGAAGTGATATGGCTTGTAAAGACAAAAATATGGTGTTAATTTGTGCAATGGAGTGATGAATATAATTTATAATGCAATCTCCACTAATTCATGAAAGATATGAAGCAATCCTAATTAATTAAAATCATCATAGAGGCCAGCATTTTCATGGTAGGGAGGGGTAACATTTTCATGAGGGTGGCCAGCATTTTCATGGTAGGGAGGAGTAACATTTTCATGAGGGTGGCCAGCATTTTTATGGTAGGGAGGGGTAACATTTTTATGAGGGTGGCCAGGATTTTTATGGTAGGGAGGGGTAACATTTTCATGAGGGTGGCCAGCATTCTTATGGTAGGGAGGGTAACATTTTTTCATGAGGGTGGCCAGCATTCTTATGGTAGGGAGGGGTAACATTTTCATGAGGGTGGCCAGCATTTTTATGGTAGGGAGGGGTAACATTTTCATGAGGGTGGCCAGCATTTTTATGGTAGGGAGGGGTAACATTTTCATGAGGGTGGCCAGCATTTTTATGGTAGGGAGGAGTAACATTTTCATGAGAGTGGCCAGCATTTTTATGGTAGGGAGGGTAACATTTTCATGAGGGTGGCCAGCATTTTTATCGTGGGGAGGAGTAACATTTTCATGAGGGTGGCCAGCATTTTATGGTAGGGAGGGTAACATTTTTTCATGAGGGTGGCCAGCATTTTTTATCGTGGGAGGAGTAACATTTTCATGAGGGTGTGCTATTTTTATGGTAAGGAGGGGTAACATTTTCATGAGGGTGGCCAGCATTTTTATCGTAGGGAGGAGTAACATTTTCATGAGGGTGGCCAGCATTTTTATGGTAGGGAGGGGTAACATTTTCATGAGGGTGGCCAGCATTCTTATGGTAGGGAGGGGTAACATTTTCTTGAGGGTGGCCAGCATTTTTATGATAGGGAGGGGTAACATTTTCATGAGGATGGCCAGCATTCTTATGGTAGGGAGGGGTAACATTTGAAGTGAAAATCTTAAACCAACTCTTATTTTAAAACCTTTCTTGCCAACACTTTCTGTATCTTTTAAACATTTTATAGGTAATAAAAAATTATCCTCTGCTCGACAACACCAGCACAGTCTGCACCATAATCACCAGCAAAATCCTGAACAAGAACCTTTGTTGGCCCCTGAACCCTCTGCTCCCCCACCAGGCTTAGATGGGGATAAAGATATTGATGCCCAAAACAACACATTGATTTCATCCAGTGGTGAGTAGACACCAATTTCCATTGTTTTACATGTCATCTGTATGTCATTGTACAAGACTTGCTGAAAAGTTAGCTTGACTTCTTGAAATCTGATCAAACAAATTTTTCTTTTTTTCTTTTTTTTTTTTGCAATCAGTTCTTTGTTAGATGAGGACTTTTCAGAATCCCACCATGTAAATTGATTCTTTTGAACAAGCATCTCCATCTTAGTTGATATCTCAGACAGTGTATATTCAGATACCTGTTGTGACGAAAGACATGACTTACCTCGAAGTTCTAAATGAGTGCGAATGTGTCTTGCCTGCAAAGTAATGAGGAAAAGAAATATGGCTGCTATCGAAGACGCAATTTATGCATGCCAATCTCGTCCAAAACGAGACGATATTCGCACACATGCAAATTTTGGTTGTATCAGACTGGCATAAAAAGCGAGATGCCAGCAGCACGGCCAGAAGGTTTGAGTCATTCAGCGGACTTTGTGCAATAGAGTTGGACATACGAATTGACTGACGGACAAAGAGGAAGTCGAAGTAGGCATGGCTGAGTTGGTGTCTGTTTCACGACTGCCCAGTGTAAGGCCAAGAAAGGAAGTCTCACAATCCATTTCCTTGAGGCAACCGACAACAAAGGAAGAACAGCTGGTCTGCTGGTGAACGGTGCTTTCCGACCCCACTCTCATCACTTTCTTCTTTTTGTTTACTACACCTGTCACATCCAATAAACTTCAGGTAGAGTATTGGAATGCAGTGGCTTAATAGAGAATGCAAAGCTGTACAGGAAATATGACATATAGAGAAGAGTCTCTCAGAAAGAATGTCTGAGAGAAAACAAATGATGAAAACAAAATAGGGATGAAATAGGATAAAAACAACTAAGATGAAGATGTTATTCAAAAAGAATTATTACATATTAATAAATAAGCCACCCATCTCAAAATTCAAGCAGAAATCATTTGTGAACCTTCAGAGCTGATAAAATGTTTTCTGTTGTAATTCAAATGCATTGAGTGTTATTGATAAAATACCCACCTTTAATATTTATTAAGTCTTAGTATGGCACAAGGCCAAAGAAAAGTGCACTTTTATATTAAAATTTTATTCATATGACATTCTGACAGTCATTCCCATTGACAAATTACTTCATTCTATGAAAGTCATTTTCTTAAAATTTTAAACTTAAGCAGTCAACTTAGCTTTATATACATTAAAATTTCCATTGTTTGATGGACAAGGTGATTATTTGTAATTAATGATCAAATATTTGAATAGCAACAAGAATTCTTGTCTTAAATGATAATGGCTTAATTCTTTTTCTCCCTTATTCTCATTAATGTTTCCTCCTTTGTTATAAACATTTTTTTTAATCATTTCATCCCAAATAAGGCAATAAAGAACAGTTTCATTTTTGAGATGTTGAAATTAACAAACCAATTCTTGTCCCAGCTCACAACAGATTAAATGTCATTTTGAAGTTCAACTACTAATTTGATTTTAATGAACCTATCAGACTTACTATTAAGAGTAAATAGCTATGGCATCTAACTGCATACCAAGTCAGGAACTGATAACATCAGGAAGATTGTTAATAAATATAAGGAAGAGTGTGGGTTCAAGAATAGAGTCCTGGGGGATATCCACATCAATGCAAAATGGGTCAAGATAACATTCATTATGCAGTTTGATAAGAAAGAGTGAATCAAATCAAAAAAATGTCCAGAAACACCATAAACCTTCAAATTGTGAAAAAGATCAGCATGCTAAATGCCTTTGAAATATCTAACACAACAGCTTGAGCTTCACCATTTTTATCTAAAGCTTGACAGACTCTTTCAACAAAAACCATCAATACATTGACATTTGACCTAGAGAAGCAAAAACCATGTTGTTTGTCAGAAAGAAAACCCTGTGAAGTGAGATACTTAACCTGTTTGGAATTGATTAGAGTCTCTACTATTTTGCCAAAGAGAAAAGGTAGAAAACTAATAAGTTGATAGTTCAAAGGATCTGATGATTCTCCAAGGTTTTTAAAAATGAGAAATACAGAACTGGATTTCCAACAATCCAGAAAACAAGCAGCAGCAAATCATCTATTGTAGAGCACTTGCAGAGTTCAGGAACCAGTTCGGAAACACATTTCTGAAGAACAATCTAGTTCACATGCTTTGTGGGGGATCAAATTTGAAGATGATAGTTGAAACTATGGATGGTGTTATATGCATATCACACAATCGAGAATCATTTCTAAGTGGAAAGTCAGGTGAAGAAATTCCTGATGGGTAGAGTAGAATTGAAAGAGAATTTGTAAGTAAAGCATTCTGATTTATCAGCAGAAAATGATAGCACTTTAAATTAATTGAAGAGAGAGGGATTGAGGACTTATCCTTGTTTAACACACTCTTACAGTTCCCCTAGTAATGAGAACAATAACCAAACTATACAGAATCAAGCCAATATGATGCCTCACTTCCTCAGCAAACAATGATTTAGCCTCTTTGGGGACACGTTTACATTTATTACAAGCAGGCACAGTGTCTGTTGTGATCAGAACTACTATATCAATATTGCCAGAAAAAGTGATTCCTGTGGGCTACAGAGGCTGAACATGCAGGTGTGAACTGGTTTTATCAGATATTTACAAGGTATAAAAGCCTTGATACTGGCTTTTACCCAAGAAGAAACTACAGAGGAAACATGTTTTAGTAAAAAGCCTAAAGATTTCACTACAGTGGATATTGCAATGAAAATCACAAATGAATGTCAATCAGTGCATCAGTAAAAGAAAGAAATCTTGTGAATAAGGGATTCATAAAGGAAAAAAAATAATAGCCCATATATTTTTGCATTCAATATTTTAGCAGGTTGATGTAAAAGTTCCTCTCACTGTATTTTTCACTATATCAGGGAAATGTTAGCAGTGTCAAGTTTACTCATTTTTTTTTATTTCTTGAGCATGAATAAGTTTTAAGAATTGTTTGAATTTATCTTGGCAAAAATCATTGCCAAATATAAAATTTACATTTAACACTTTTTACTAATCATGATTAATTTGGGAATAATTAAAGCAGAATCTAAATCACTGATAATTAAGGTAATGATCCAGTAGGTGCAAGTATGTGCCAAGAATGGTTTTCAGGATTCAATAGAGGAAATTTTGATCCCAATGACAAAGAACATTCTAGAGGATCTCAGAAATTGACAATAGATTAGAGCATCTTTTTAACAATAATGAAAAATACAAAATACAAATTTTAAAAAAATCAAATGCAAATCAATCAATATCAATTAGAAATCTTAGAAAAAATATAGAAACTAGAAAACTTGGGTCCACATAAACTTATAAAAAGGAAAAATCAGCAATAATATTTTTCTTTCTCTTTTATCTTGACACGGAAGATATGATCATTAGAATCTAAAACTGTGGCTAAATCCAGGACACTTTCAATATCTCAATCTGAATTGAATTTTCTGGCAAAAAAGGTTTTTTTTGGATTTTCTTTTTGAAACTGCAGATATCTTTTACTGTAAAATTCCACAGTGAGCCAAAGGCTTGTTTGAATAACACATTGGAATAGAAAGATCTTTTTTTTTTCTTCTGGGGGAAAGATCCTGGGAAAAATTGCAGGACAACACAAACAATCATAGTACTACGAAGAAAAGTTCTCCCACATGAGGCATTTTCTCCAAATCAGTCACTTTCAAACTATCACTTGTTTTACTTCAAACAGCATTCCTTACCTTGGGAGCAGTTCCAAAAGATTCAAAATATCAAAATAAACTCTCTGAAGAATTCGTTAAATCAAAACTCTAGGACACAACAGAAGAAACTCAGTAGAAATGAAGAAAGAATGATTCATAGAAAGCAAAAAAAAATAATGATGCCATGAATTTGTAAATTGTTTTAAGAAATCCTGGAAACTTTTTCAAAAACTTATCATAACCAATAAGCTATGTTTCTTCAATTCAATAACCTTGTCCAACAGACAATTTTAAAATTGAAAGGGTAAATTTACTCCTAAAATTGTTTTAATTAAAATATTTATGGGCAACATTTATCATTTAAAAACACAAGAATATTATTATTATGTCTTCCTATTCAGTCTCTCATGTTCATCTTGATTGTTATGACACAAATGCAAATAAAGAAGAGAGAATTAATTGATATGATTTATCTCCTTTAAACATGAAAAGTGGAATGAGAAGTATCTTCTCTTGTGAATTGAATAAAGGATTTGGTTCAAAATTTTGAGTAGGTTAAAGAGTATGATGATAAATACACAAAAAAGGTCAAAACATTGTGAGTATAACAAAGAAGATGATCATGGTTGTCCCAATAAAAGGTAGATTTTAATAATTTCTGACAAAGGAATGTATTGTTTATAGCTTTGAAAATAATCATTAACATTGTTAAGACATATGAACTCCTTTGTAAATTTGTTGAACATGTTTTGGCTGATACATTCTTCAGCCTTTATCAGGTGTTTGATGAAAAAAGTGGAAACATTTTTTTCAAGAAAAAATATGGCAAATGAAAAAAAGATGGTAATAATCAATATACAAACTTGATAAATCCATTTGGACAACATTAGGTACACATGACACCCAAGTATTCAAATAACAATTTCAAACTATACATGCAAGAGCTCTCCAACACCTACTTTATAAGGCAAAAAACACACACATTGTGGAAGTCTGTACAAGTATCACTTATATAACTGGCTAACAAGCCAATATGTCACCTTCTTCAAATTCCTCACTCCTCAATGATATACGTCATACAATTGTGCATTTTATATATATATATATATATATATATATATATATATATAAATAAAACTGTAAACTCCACATAGAGAATAGGGATGGAAGAACACTACAGTCGATGATGCTGATGTAATTTTAATAGCAAACAGAATTTTTGTGTTGCTTGCCTAACCAATTTGAATTCAGAGTTGTCCTTCTTTTAAATTGCTTATCAACCAAGGCTAGAGGATCCAGTCTCTCATGCTATT